GCTGCTTTTGGGCAGACAAGGGAATACTCTAAACTAATTGTCCGGCTCTTCTCTCGAGGGAAAAACACATCCAGACTTGTTAAAGGCTGCAGTGTGGCCCAGTGCCAGACTCTTATTAGCAGCCATCCTGTCAGAACCCATCACCTCTCTCAGACACGGCAGCACCGTGTCAGCGCCGATTAAACCTCCCGACAACCTGCAGCTCTAATGTTCCTGAGCATCTTCCCTGTTCACAGCTGCCGCAGTTGCTAAAACTAACAACCAGCCTTTCTGTCTGCCTCTTTTTACTATCTTTATTTCAAGGTGGAGGTTTTCTTTTTTTAGATTCAGTGAAAATGGCCCTCAACTACCTGAACACATCTACAGAGCATCGATAGAGCACATTTTGGGAAATAAAGCATCCCCAAAAGAGCTGGAATTACTTATTGATTATTTACTCAAAAAGTAAACTGTGACTGCATGAGAGCAGTGAGGGAGAAAAATCAGTGTAATAAACCTTCACATGGTGACAAATACTTGTGACCTTTGTTTTATTATAGTAGCTTTTCTTACATTTACAGCATTTATTTGAGATTTTATATTATTTTAATTTCAGCAACACAGTGTTTAGCTTGTGCAGTTATCACAATGCAAATTTGCTTATTACATGCCGTACTAGGAAAATTAGCCCAGCCATAATACACTACAGTATATGCAGAAGTGTAGTTATACACTGTGTGTGTCTTTGTGGAACACTTGTACCACCTGATGGCTAAAATAAAATAATTAATAAGGTGTTTGGCGACACCTGCAGTTTCTCAACGTCCTCCAAGATTTAGTTTTTAATATGTTTACAACCTGACAGTCTATACTGTAACTTTACTGTGTTGGTCTATTCTGTACACACATATATTACATGCCAGTGCATCCTGGGACAGAGTTCCCTCCTCTGTAGCTCTTTCCTGAGATTTCTAACATTTCTTTCCCCATTAAAGGGTTTTTTGTGGGAAGGATAGTGGTTGTTTTATACTGTACAGATTATAAAGCCCCTTGAGGAAAATGTATGATTAGTGATATTGAACTATATAAATAAAAATGACTTGACTTAACAGAAATAAAACATTGTGTCATGTTATCCTCCAGAGGACATTAAATACCAACAGAAACACTATTGAGCTTCTGTCTGTAAAACACCAAATGTTAGCTTCTCAAGATTTTGTAAATACTTTTTTTATTTCTCCAATCTGCTGAGGTGCCCCACTACCCCTCTTCTCCCCAAACCACACAGGAGGACAGCCCTGGAGAGCAAAGAACTCACTAGCACTTAATAATTTTTAATAATTCAGGAAGAAAATGCTTCAACATTTTAACACAACATTTTACACTCCAAACTCTCTCACACATACGCACACAATCATTAGCTATAAAAAAAAAAGAGGTGTACCAAATCAGCTATGCCAAATGTGCACACACTATTGCTTTCCATTGCCTGTAGCTAGAGTGCATGGACAGGTCTACAGCAACATTGCAGAACTGTCACTGCTCTTACTTTTCTTGCCAAAGCTTCCCTAGATTAGACTGAAACTGCCAGTCTGAAACAAGTGGGACTACAGCTCTGCAGCTGGGCCTGGTGTCTGGTTTTCCATCATATTGAAAATATCTGTAATGTGATTTTTTTTTTGTGTGCGTGGCAATCTGAGCCAACTGTCTGTAATAACATATGCTGAGAAGAAGCAGTATCTCACCCTGATCCAAACAATGAGATGTAGATGTAGAGGAAGGATAAGATGGCCATGTTGCACGTATCCAAGTTTCCATTGGCCACACCGACAAATTCACGCAGTTTCTTCACAAGTTCAGCATCGAGACGTTTCACCTCCTCCCTCTTACCTGTTAACAAAATCACAACACCACACACTTTGACCTGTAGGTGTATGAAAAAGATAGATATATGATAGTGTATGTAATGATGAATACTGCTAAATGTAGTACTTTGCATATATGATGTGATATGCAACGTGCCTCAATGCTGTCCCCATGTGTACTGGACTATGTGGACACATGATGCAGATGCAACAGTAATAACTACAGTCTGTGTAGAATTAATGGTTCTGTGTGCTCCATCACCCCTTACCACAGAAATGAGGAAGAAGCTGCCTCAGTTCAGACAGGTCCCAGCAGCAGAATGTGTCAATATTCGGGAGGTTGATGCAAACTTTGCCAGAAGTCGTGGCTTTTAACTGTAAATATGTTCTCAGGTTCAAACTCACAGCAAGAGCCACCTGTAATGGAGCAGAGAACACAGATGTCTTCAAGTTTTAGCCCATTTGGTGCACATGTGTATATTTTTTTTTACAAAGCTTTAAGCAAGTTTCCACAGCTTACGCATAGTGTGTTGTCTATTGGATATGTTTTAGCTACTTCCCAGGTGAATTACTGGTTCTTTACAGTACAGCAAGAAAATCCACTTGCAGAGATCTACATAAATGAATGGAAAGAAGTCTCTGAAAGGTTTAAAACTGAATGCATTAAAGATTTGAATTACCTTTCCGTGCACAACTGCATGCTCTCCGTGGAGGATCGCCTTCCCCGGAGCAGACACTAAGACCTGCATCTCTGTAACAGTTTCCAAAGTGCAAAAACAGTGACACTGACAGTATTATTATTAGCTATCTTAGCCACCTTTAGCTCCTGTTAATCCTCTGCAGCAGCAACAAGCGATCGATAACTCTGCTCCCACTGATCTGCGCTTTTCATCAAGTCTCCACGAATAGAAGGACTTTAATAAATCTTTTTTGGGGGGGTCAAAGTATAGAAAGTTGCTCTGAGAAGAGACTCTCTTCAACTCGGTGTTAAAACACGTTAAAAACACAGCTGACACGCAGGGGGAGGGACTAACGAAGGTTCGGCTTCCAGTATCCAATCAGCGCCGTCGCTGGTTGAACACATATTCTCTCGTCCAATCAGCGGCCCGCGCTTGGTGAGTTGACCAACCGGGCGATAAAAACGAAACGCCCATACACTACGAACACCGCGGAGGGACAAAAAGGTATTACTATCGTTCACCTTTAGCTGCTAGCCTGTAGCTTCAACATGGCATCGTTTGTTATCAAACCTGCCCACCTCCGCTGTGTGGTAAGGACAGGCAGGCTCATAAGCGAGTGTCGGACAAGGAAAACATTGTGCTCAGAGAGAAGGTAGTTTTAAACATGTGCTGTTGTTGTTGTTGTTGTTAAACTCATGTTTATGTCATTCATGTAACTGTCTGTTATATAGCTAGCTATGTAGCTCTTATACAAGGATGCTGTATGAAATAAAGGCAATTATTTGTGTTGTTTATGTTGAGCAGGAGCATTGTTTGAAATTAAAACAATAATCCTGTGTACCTGCTTTAATAGACATCCATTTTGACATGAAATAATAATACAGGTGTTACCATTCAGGTCAAACAGAGTGCATGTTGGCTCACTGCAACAGAACCTTGATTGTTATCATTGGTAACACCTGTGTTTACCCTACTGTTTCATGTCAAATGGCTGTGAAAAAGGTTTGTTTTAACTGTTGCTATGTATCAAATATATATATATTAAAAATAACTTCATTAAAGTCCCCTATTATGTTCCTTTTCCCCAACAGTTATGCCACTGAAGGAGACAACAGGATACCCAAAATATACACCAAAACTGGAGACAAAGGTTGTTTTTTTTAACTTTACATGTCACAGTACTGTTAAATAGTTCTTACAAAAGTTGACTTAATTCTTGTTATATCCCCTGAAAGGTTTCTCAAGCACATTTACAGGAGAAAGGAGGCCGAAGGAAGATCATATATTTGAAGCATTAGGAAATACAGACGAGCTGTCATCGGCTATAGGGTGAAATGTCCGCTGTTCAAATGTCAGTTCTCTTTAAAACCTGTTCTATAATCTGCCTCAGCCTGAAGTAACCATGTTTAATTGTACATTTACAGCTTGGCCAGAGAATTCTGCCTCGACAAAGGTCACACATTCACATATCAGCTGGACAAGGTTTGATTTTCTTGTTGTGTTTATTCCTACCTTGTTTCATTGCAGACATTTTACACCAGATATAAGATTTCTTGTGTTTTTAATTGCAGATACAGTGCATCTTACAAGATGTGGGCTCCAATATTGCCACCCCTCGATCGTCTGCGAGAGAAAGTCACATGAGTACGTGTTTGTTGGCTAGTCTAATGCTGTAAAATACTGTGTCCTGTGTGCTTTAAGATCTCTTAGGTTTATTTTTTTCCTGTTCTGTTTCTAAGCGAGAACAAAGTTTACTGCTCAGCCAATTGCAGACCTGGAAACCTGGATTGATGCATTTACAAAAGAACTCCCTCCACTGACCAACTTCATTTTACCAGTAAGCCCATTTGTGCATCTGTACGACACTGGGTTCTTGTGTGGTTCTTCCTGTTGCACTAACACTGTTTTGTGCGTCACAGTCTGGAGGGAAGAGCAGCGCAGCTTTGCATTTAGCTCGGACAGTGTGTCGGAGAGCAGAACGAAGGTCAGTCGCAGCACGTTCCCGGCCTTGAATGACGTAAAATGACTCCCTTTGTCTTCTTGAACAGATTTTTGTTCTCGTTATAGTGTTGCTCCAATTGTGCGGTCAGGGGAGGCAGATCCAGATGTTGCAAAGTTTTTGAACAGGTCAGTCTATTGCTTTGAAATCACTGAGAATGCTGTTCCTCTATTATTATTACACATCTCATACATTTCCCAACATTTTCACTCAGATTGAGCGACTACCTGTTCACCGTGGCCAGATACGCAGCCATGAAAGAAGGCAACGAAGAGAAAATCTACAAGAGACCTGAATGACCAGATTCTCACATGTGAAATAAGAAAAATGCCTGATTTGTTTTTGGGAATGGTTGGTGATAGATTTCATTTTTATTGTAAATATGAATAAATATGAATGAGATCCAGAACTGTTCTCATTTTGATTTCTTTTTAGTAAAATGTGAGAATATAGGCAGTAATAAACTTAGCTGTGAGATCTAAATTGTAAGCCATTCAGTCAATACGCGTACCTTCTGGTTATTTTTTAATTGTTCACAGGTCATGTTTCAAACACATACATCCAGTTAAGTTATTGTGCTGCAGCAGAGAAACTTACAATTGTCATCAACCAGAGATTAAACAACTACTATGGATATTGCTCCATCCTCCGTTAGCTATACCCCAGTCGGTTTTGTTCTCATGTATTTTTAATACAGACATACATTTGCATGTGAGGAATGTTCAGGACTCGGCGCTCTTCCATCACGGCCCCGTTATCGCCCTCCCACACAGTCACAGGATCTGGCACCAGCCCTGGGTCTTCTGGGACAGGGTGCTGGCCCATGTCATTAGAGACAGATTGCGGTCCTCATAGGGCGGATAACGCAGATAGGTTACACACTCCAACCGCGTGCTTCTCAGCAGGCATGATTTCCTGTGAGAGAAGGTGTCAAAGCTGTGGCGGCCATGGTAGGAGCCCATTCCACTGGCACCTGTTAAAATAAAGTGTTAGTTGCTATATTGTAGGTTATATTATTCCACCACTGTGTTTGGCATCATTTGTATTCTGATGGCGCCGACTTACCAACTCCACCGAAAGGCAGAGCCACCATCAGACTCTGCAGGATGCTGTCATTGGAGCAAAAGCTTCCACTAGACGTCTCACTCATTAGCTTTGAGATGACCTGCGTTGTCGGAAAGGCCAACACGTGATCAGAATACACATCGGCTCATACAGCAGTTCATACAGTGAATACAGAGCGCCTTCACTTTGATGTCACACGTACCTTGCTGTTGCTGGAATATGCATACACACAGAGGGGTTTCTCTTGCTTATTAATAAAAGCAATTGCCTCATCTGTATTGTTCACAGTCAGAACAGGAAGAACTGGGCCGAAAACATCCTGTTGCATGATGGGATCTTGTTCCGCTACCTCTGTCAAAATTGTTGGGGCTTCAGAAAGAAAAAAAATAGTTTACAACAGTGTTATATTGTAATGCATGTAGCAGAGAGTCTCGCACAGAAGACGCTTACCAATATATTTCTCTGCTTCTACCACTTGCCCACCCACAGCCACCTTGCCAGATCTCCACAGCAGGTCTCTGGTACAGTTGAAAATCTCTAGATTGACCATGCGGCCAAAACTGCGGGACTCTCTTGGATCAGAACCGTAGAACTGCATCAGGCAGCACTTCAGGGCCTGCACCAGCCGTGCTTTGACTTCCTTGTGGCACAGGATGTAGTCAGGAGCCACGAAGCTCTGGCCAGCATTGTGAAAACGTGCCCAGGCGATGCGCTGTGCGGTGATGGCAATCTCACAGTGTTGGTCCACGTAACACGGGTTCTTGCCGCCCAAAATCAGGGTGACAGGCGTGAGTGTGTGAGCGGCAGCCTGAGCAATTTTGCTTCCCTCCTCCCTGTTTCCTAGGCATTGACAGACAGCCTTAATGACTTAATTCAATCAAATCAACACAAAATTATTTTATAGCCAAGTTTATCTTTACCTGTAAAGAAGACGTGGTCAAATTTAAGTTCCACAACTTCAGGCAAGTCATTCGTGCCTGCAAGAATCACATGGAAGCATTCCTTGAGGAAAACAAGAATTTTAGATCAGATCATTGTAGTTCCTTAACGTCAATACAGTGTAAGTGCAAAATCACAGTTTGAGAGTCAACTTTTTCTTGGATAACGAAAATTCTCCCAGATTTGCCACATCAAACCTGCAAATCTAACATTAAAACTGCCCTCTCTAAAAGCACACAGATCAAACAATGTCCTCTTAATTAAATTCATACAAATTAGTTATTAGGCTGAAATTAGTGGAATAAAAATATATTCCATTGAAGTATATAAGCATTTACTCAACCACACTATATGAGCGAAAAAACCCTCAAAGAAGATCTGCTGTGACTCGATAAACCAAACCCACACAATCCACCCTCCCTACTGTTTAATCACTCACATTGTCCAAGTAGAAGGGGATGAGTCGATGAAGAAGCTCTGCTGTGTGAGCCGTGCACTCAGAGGGGCTGATGATTGCACAGTTTCCTGCACAAATTAATAAAATATCAGTAAGCCTGTGTGAGGGAAAAAAACAGCTTGAATTAAACTGATTAAATGAGGGGTTTTGAGTCTCTGCACCTGCTGCAATGGCCCCTACCAGCGGCACCAGACACATTTGGACAGGACTACACCAGGTCCCCATGATAAACACCACCCCCAACGGCTCACTGACCACCAGACACTCATCCGGCGTGGTGGACTACGCCAATCAAGCATAAAATTGGGTTACAAGTGAAACAGAACTCTCATGAGTGAACATGGTTATCAGAGCACATGTTGACTAAAGAACTGAAAAACATCAGCCCACTTAATTCTTACAAAAAGGGCAACGGCAACTTAAGTTTTAATCTGCTTTGGCGTCACAATACATTTCTTTGTAGCAGCTAGACAGAATGTTCTCTTGTGTAAGTTCATAAATAATCCCAATAACATTATTAAGGTGTTTGGGATGTTTGGATTTAAAATGTTTTTTGATGCTTTACAAACTTAAAAAGTCTCACCAGGTTTCTTTCCACATGCTGTGGCTGCATCCACTTCTTAAGGTTGCTGATAGCATGAAGTGCCTCGTTCTTGACGAGAATGAGTTCTGACACAACTGTCTCAAACCTTGGCTGGTTACAAAAATAAATAATTAATAAAAGACTGTTTGGGCCATTATGTAATCTCTCATCATAGTTTTTGACAAGCACAAACAGATGACTGCTGCCCCCCCCCCACCTTATGAAGGTCCCTTCCAAGAGCATCCACAAAGTCAGACTCATGTTCCTCCAGCATCCGCACCACAGCCTCCAGCTGACCCAGTCTGAAGCTCTCCTTGAGGGTGCGTCCAGCTTGAAAGGCGACTCTTGCCCTCCCCAGCAGATCCACACAATCCAGAGGGTATATCTTCAAACACTGCTCCCCCAGCCTGGTCCTGAAACAGCAGCCACATTGCTTGTTTTAACACCACAGAGCAAGAAAAAAAAAAAAGAAAAAAAAACACATCCACAATCCATAGCTCATCACTGTACCTTCTGCATGTTAACCAGCCATTCCTCTGACAAGCAGCGCACACCCTGACTTTTACACTCACGTTTATTCCAGTCAAGAATCCACTGCTGGCCTTTCTGAATGGAGCTAGTGTGCAGCTAAGCCTATGCACCAGTGAGGTAAAAGCCCCACTGGCAGGGAGGAAAGTGAAAATCCTAACAACTCCAGCCAATCAGGTGATGCACATAAACTAACAAACCTGGATTCTAATAATCTCCAACCCGGGCCACTGCAAGGCATCATGAAAAGTTGAACCAAGGACAGCAAGAGTGTCTTATTCACTGCCTCCAGTAACTTACACACATGAAAAGAAAAAAAAACTTAACATTGAATTAATTTGCCTCTTTTGCAAGTTCAGTTACCTTACTGCCAAAACCTGAGTCTGTTTAGAGGCAAAGCAGGGATTTCTGGCACAACTTCACCTACTTGTGCATGGAAAAGGGAAAAAGTCTGAAGAGATCAAAACACCAGCAACACTAGTATAAAGAACAACTTTATTGTGAAACCAATGCGTTGTATTCATGCCATATACAATAAGCCTATTGAACCTTACCTGCGCAGCGCTTTGAACCACCTGGCTGGAGAAGGGCTCGGCGGGCTGCTCATGGTTGTCCTGCAGGTTCAGGTGGCAGGCTGCAGGTACACAGCTGCAACTCGTGTTGTGTTTGGGAAATCCTCACAGCAGCACCGTTCACCTCTCCTGAAGAGTCACACAGTGCAAGGACCAGGACGCAGTGGAAAATATGGGTCAGACGTGCGCATTCACACCGTTATCCGCCATGCACGTTATTCAGGAAAACCAGAAGATGTGGTGTTATGAGTCATTCTGAATCCCACAGCCTCCTGTTAGTGTTTCAAGCTTCAGCCCCATGCGCACATCCACTGTGTTGGTGGAAGCGTCCTTCCACACGCAGCAGGTGTTTGTAATACACTTTAATTAAATGGTGGCAGCCAGCCAGGGGCGGATCTGGAGGGGTGGCACCTTAACAAAATGCATGGCCACCCCAGTTTGGTGTCAAATGCAACACATTCATTTAGATTAATTTTAAAAAATATTGTTAAAAAACGAAACTAATCTGTTATAGCCATATTTTTAAGTGATAGGCTTAAGTTCAATAACATATTTTTGGAAAAATATCTTAAGATTTGTAAATTTAGTGAGTTCTAATGCCGCGTTTAGATATATTTCTATTCAATGCTTTACTAATGTTAGTTAAAATGTCTTCATTTGGGGGCTTTTCAATGCAAAAATTAATATACATGATTGTTCCCAATTAAATAAACATATTTATACCTTTAAAGTCTCCATGCCACCCCATGAGTATTTCTCTAGATCCATCCCTGCAGCCAGCATTGATAAATGTGAAAAAACACTCATCTTTGTGTTGTAAATGATTTAAAGTAAAATTGGATTTATATTATTTTTTTATATTTTATTATATGTTTTTATATTTATTTATATAATACTGGTGTACATGATTTAACATTACAGGGGGGGGAAAGTATCTTACATCTTACAACTCTTACATGGGAATCTATTTTTTTTTTTTTTTTACAACACACTCCACACTGTAGTGCAGCCAGTTTCAAAAGACACTTTAAAAAGAGATGGAAACTTTCACATAGAGATGGGAACATTTCAAGGATCATTTTTATTATTTTTTGTACTAAAAAGGGTGGATATTCAAAGTCAGCATCAGCAGTCCACTGGTACATTTAAAGCCTATATAGCCTACTCTTGACATCATTTTAAAAGAGATGAGCGACCTCATCAGACAAGACAGACAAGCTTGTGAGGTATCTTTCATCCCTCTTGCACACTAACACACACTCGAGTGTAGCGTGTCGTGTAAATCCATCCGCAGTGTTTCCACTTCTTGCTTGAATAGATTAAAAAGGAGGAGCGCTGAAGCAAGATCCTCTGGACTGATTTGTCAGATTCGAAAATAGTTTAAAATCTCATTAGTAGACTGCAAGTTAATTACAACCAGTGTTATTTATATATAGATAATGGTTGCATTTTAATCATAATCACTTCTTCTGTTTTCACACAAGTTAGTGGCCATTGTATTACTAGTTAGACAATAATGACCAGTATGTTCTATAGCTTGTGTTACTTATTAACAAAAGTATTCATACTCATTCATTACAGAAAACACTTTTTGCATAATAAAGAACTTGGTAAAGATTTCGTATTTTCTCTTAACCCTTTCTCTGAAAGGTGCAATCCTCTTTCTGGTGAATCTCTTCCTTAACTTTATCATGTAATGGAACCCTGTGTAAAGAAATATTTAGGCTTATAAGGTAACATTCACCCTCATGTCAAACAGCCGAGAGGTGTGCAACATTTCCATCCAAGGGAACATTAAATCAAGCAGTCACATTTGGTTGACGAACCAGTCCATGACATCATGTTGAGGGGTTTTTACACCTCAAATTCTTTTCTGAATGGCTTAAAAAGTCCACAGAGATTGGAGGGCATCGTAGTAAAACCCTCCTCGGTTGTTGTTGTTGTTGTCGTTGTAGTGGTAGAAGAGTGGTTGGGTTGCTGCGTTTTTTTGTTAGTAGGAACAAAGAATAAGTCCAGGTACATAGCCCCCATTTCTATGGCTTGTTTCCGATATACATGGATATTGGTTACAGTCTGACATGTGAGAGCAAAGGGGAGATGGCGTAATATGAGGCACTCAGCGTTATTCGGAGGTGTAGTGAGAAATCTTCAGTCTTACTAGTGTTAAGTACAAAGATTAACATCATTGATTAACTCTTCAGGGTTTTTTTTTTGGAGTGGAGGTCAAGCACAGATGTGTGACAATAAACAGCTGTATCTGCTTTACTGGGCAGATACAAATAAGTGACAAAACATTTCCAGTTTTTGTTTACTCAGAAGTCAAATGCTACAGCAAGGACATCTTTTCAGCAGGTCTGCTGCTTCACCAGGACTCAGGCAGATGTCAAAACACAAAAACCAGAGGGCTGGCATCTCTCTCAGGTGACTGCAGTGTCTTTTAGAGGGGAGAAATGGAGCCAGGTCAAAATGATTTACCTCAACTATAGGGGATAATGTAATAAACGCAGGATCACTGTTGTGAGCCACGCCTCCTCCATGGAGGTTGAACACAAGACATTGATTTGTCTTCCATTTATAAAAGATGCATTATGTTCAGCAAAACATTTTAACACTCATCCAATATCTGCTAAAAGTTGCTTGGCTAATGGAGTCCAAGCTTGTAAGTATATTAACAATGCATCGCTTGGTTTCACTCGAGTGAGTCAACCACGTGTCTAATGGCTTGCATTGAATCTGTATTGCTTTCCAGTTTGCTTAAAATGGGAGTGTTAGATCAGAAAATGATTCTGTTAAGCCTGAGAAACAGAGATCTAGCCACTGTATATCCGTACTTCATCAAGTTAAATACACGACATATTGAATTTTGGGAGTGGCAAAGGGAGATGCTATAAATTGGATTGTGCTGCAGAAACAGCATCCCCTTTGATGTGAAGGAGTGGGCTGAAGTTGAGCAGAGCTCATCCAGTTTTAAAAAGAGACAAAAGGAGAGTTTGTAGGTCCTTAATGAGTCCCCTTTTGTCTACGTGATGCCACTTTGATGTGACAGGCTCCAGTCCAGGTAAGCCGAGCCTCTTGCTTGTTTCAGGCTGCTGAACACAACCCTCCTGTGAAGATTGTCCTGATGCAACTGAGTTAGGAGAGCTCAAAGCCTGTGTTCATACTGATAGCGTAGCGCAGCTTGTCACGCAAGATGCTTTTCTTGCTGTAGTTGGGCAGCTTGAGCAGGTTGAAGCACGTCGATGAAGTGGGAAGTCGACCTCCAGGTTCCTTCTTGCGGATAGTGAAAAAGCCCCTAAGAACACTGCCAAGGGTGTCTCCAGTGTCCTAAACACAAGAAAAATGCGCTGTTAGTACAAAGATAACACACTGATGCAAGCTACAACACAAACATAACTTGAAAGCAGCATTGATTTCCTCCCATTTTATTCTTACCTGATCATCTGAAACTTCCACACAACGGATGGAGAAAGGTGGTTTGAGGTAGGCAAAACCTAGAAGAGGTGGCCTTGAGCAGCTGGTAACAAACTGTAAAGAGACATTTAAAAGACAAAAAAAATAAGACAACGATGAACCACCTTGTGGTAGAAAAGAGTGTTTTTTTGGCTGTGACAGATACAAAACGACGACAATTTACTTTAAGGAACATAGCCCTCTCTTCCGCAGTGAAGTCACTGGACAGGATGTCCCATAGCCAGATGATGACACGATGGCTGCTGTGAAAACCTCCATAGTAGACTGTGTGTTTCCTGAGAAAGAGAGATGAAGACAACAAGGATGAGCATCTCTGTAAACAGGAAGCATAGATGAAGGAAAGAGTCTGTTGCTGACTACTAAGGGAAACTTCTATCACGATGTGTGTAAGTGATGTGGTGGCACAGCAAGAAAAGAAGAAGAAATTAGTCAGTCTGCTCATTAAAGATGTCCGAAATGTCACATACTTGAGGTCATCCAGATCAATCTCAGCATTGTCTCCAGAGACGAGACGCTGAACCTCAGGCGTGGAAAACATGTGGAGCCACTCTGGGTTAATGATGCTGCGGAAGCCCCGAATGAAAGCTGCCGTTTGCTCCTTAATCTGCGTGTGCATCCGGAAGTGAGCCATGAGGTGGATGTAGCTGATCCTGCAGGAAATGGTTAAGTAATTTCTATTGAGTACAGCAACATTTTTAACTTAAAATGGGTCAGTACCCTATTATTTATTTATCTGGAATGAATTTACGTACTTGTTTTCATTGGTGACTGGCATGGTTTTCCCCCCAGGTATCAACTCATGACAAACAAGCTGTAAGGGAACATACAAAGTAGCTTTTGACTTATGAATTTCATGTATTTAACTATACTGTATTATATCTATCACATTTTCCACTCTTACCTGCCCCATAACATCTTCATCATAGGATAACGTCAGTCCTAGATCCCCTACATCTCCATCATAGCGCTAAAAAAAAACAAATAAAAGGCATGAGATAGAGATAAAAATGTGATAAACAAAATCATTTTTAAAAAAAAAGGTGTAATTCTAGCTGACCTTAATGGAAGTAAGGTTTTTGTAAAACTCAGAGTCCAGCGAGGGCAGCTCGTCGATGGAGCTGTAGAAAGTGCTGTGGTGGTGACCCAAGACTTGACTGAGGAAGAAGGAGGCAAAAGGGACGTCCACAACAATGCCCTGCGTGTACATAAGTTACAGTTACACATTTACTGAAGGTTTCCTAAAACACTGTATTCAGAGTAGAGAGCAACAGATGAGGGCATTTCCTCAGAAAGCACAAATGTACCTCATAGATGGCTTTCCCGAGCATCTTCCCCACAAACTCAAACAGCTGCAAATGGTTCTCATGGATGTACGATGTCGGTGAAGGATACAGCCTTTCGTTTCCACTCGTAGTCTACGGAAAATAAATATGATATCACAATAAAACAATCCAACATCAGCCGCAGTGTGATGGCTTAAAAAACGTCTCTTTTGCCTGACTTACCTTAAACAGGTTAAGAGCAGGATTGAACACTTTCTTAATGATCTCCTCAAGAAACTCTTTGAATACACCATCCTGATCGATACCAGCCTCGTCTACTCCCAGATCGTTGACAAACTTCACACGAATGACGCCTTTTATAGAATTCGCTGGTAATCGGCGGAGCTGGTCATATCCATCCTTAGAACGGGGAGAAACATGTTATTATGGAACAACTGGCAGAGTAGTGTATTAAAAAATCTGATCAGTTGACACCATACCTCTAACATCCGTGAGCGACGAATGGTTATATGGGTGACATGTGGTGAGGCAGAGCTGGTCTCGATCAAGCCCAAACTTTCTTTTTCCTTTG